GAGTATTATATGGTGAACAATAATTAATAAAAATTTTATTTTTTCTTATATCAATGCATAAATATGTATTCTAAAATCAAATAAATATTAGTATGACGTGTTAGCGGAATTATATATTAATTAACATGTTAATTTTTTGGCTTAAATAAACGCCACTTATTAAAAGATGTGAAATATGGATGATCCAAGCCTATTGTTTTTTTGTATTGAATGCAAGATATTGACTGGTGATCATGCTGGCGACACAGTATTGATTCCTAGAATGAATATTACTCCTTCTAATCTTAGGGTTCTATTTAAGTTTCAGCAGCGGCAATTCCCACTTATAGTTTCGTATGTCATGACCATAAACAAGAGTTAGGGACAGTCTCTATCCCACGTTGGTCTTTTTCTAAAGAAGCCTGTCTTTAGTCATGGTCAATTATATGTTGATGTTTCGCGTGTGACTTAGAAGGGGGTTGAAGATATTAGTTTGTGAAAATGAGGAGTTACCCGATAATCAAACTCATAATGTTGTGTACAAGGAGGTCTTTAATAATACATGATTGTTTTTTTTTTTTTCAATACTATTTTATTGTACAATTTTCGTGTGAATTGTACAACTTTTATTGAATATTGCATATTAAATTATAATACTCCTCAAATGAATATATCCCGTGTCTTGCACAGGTCACGTACTATATATATCCCGTACATCTTTTTTATCCATTTATATAATTATAAGGCTGGATATATGTGCACCCCGTGCATCGCACGGGCTGTACTAGTTGTTAATAGATGCTGATTGATTTTCATTTATTATATATAGTGTTACCAATTATTAAATAAATATAGTGTTCATGTAACATGATTCGTGTTCACATACCATAATTGAGATAAAATGCTACTAATAATTCACATGTATAGGAAAAAAAAAAAAAAAAAAAATTAAAATTAGCCTCGTAGCTTTATGAGTCCATTAAAAGAAGAATTGCACAAAATTCGATCCCAACCTTGTTTTTGTTCATCTTAGAATCCAATCCAAACTTTTCGAATGCTTACGGAAGGAATACGGAAGCGGATTCGAAGAACTCGCGTGCGAGAAGTTGGTTCCGATCGTTGGAAATATTTGCCAACCAAATCTCGGAATGGATGCTTATTCTTCTGGTGTTGTCATGGATGAAGTAGATGTCATCGTAAGATCTGCATCTAGCACGACCATACACGACAGGTTTTTGTTGGGTTCGTGATTTTTTAAGAATGAATAAATTTGTGTTGTAATATCTACGTACGTAACTCTTTTTGGTCGTATACATAATTATGTATAAGTACGATTCCTTGATCGATGCAAATGTGAGCGCCTCACAACGGCTAATGAGGTTTTCTAAGAAATGCAAGAATCTCAAGCTTTTCGTGCACATCTCAACCGGTACGTGATTCAAAAAATGCATGCATCGAGTTTTTTTGCTTATCGAAAAACTAGATTAATAACAAGTATTTTTTATACGATCAAATGTATATAGCATATGTCAATGGAAGAAAAGAAGGCATGATCTACGAGAAGCCGTTGGTTATGGGAGAAAATGGGAGAAACAAAGAGGACTTCGCCAAGTCTTCTTCCAATTGGGGAATAGATTTAACCGACGAGATGAACCTCGTTATGAAATCGTGTGTGGGCTCCACAGAATTCGACGCAACAAAAGAACTAAAAAGGCTTGGTTTTGAGAGGTAATAGTCATTTTCTTTCTATCCTATCGCAATTTTTGCTGTTAGATTGTCTAATTGTTACTAGTTGTCCTTTTTTTACAAAAAATTATGTACTTATCTTATAAATTGTCATACTTTATCTAGATAGTCTCTTAATTTGGGACAAGTTTTTGTCCATTTATAGTATATTTCTTGCTTAATTATGTGTGCATGATCTAGTTTTGTAGCTAGCTCATTGTTATAAGGTCATAAGCCTATACATGTAGGGCCACATTCTACGGATGGTATAATCCGTATCATTCGACTAAAGCGATGGACGAAATGGTCCTTAACGAAATTAGAGAGAACGTACCCGTGCTTATCATAAGGCCAACTGTTATCGAGAGTAGCTACGAACAACCTTTTCTTGGGTGGATACAAGGAAATAGGTACGAATTCTTCGTTTTATTACATTTTGTCGTGCTTAATTACATAATTTTCTTGTACTCATTACAACCTAAACACGCGTTGTTAGAATGTTCGATCCGGTCATTATTTCTTACGGCAAAGGACTACTTCTGGCTTATCTAGCCGATCCCAACGCGCACGTGGACATTGTAAGTACACAAAATTTTCTTCATCATAAGTTGAACTAAAATTATGTAATCACTTTGCTTATGTCCCCCTTTTGTCATGTGAGTTATTCAGGTTCCAGTTGATATGATGGCTAATACAACAATTGCAACCATTGCAAAACACGAAAGCATAAACAAGCCACGATTGGGCGTGTATCATGTGGTGACCGATTTTGTGAATCCTTTGAAATTTTTGGATTTCTTCGAACACATCCACGAACACTTTACCGTGAACCCATTGACCTCGGGAGACTTTTCGAAAATGGAATTGTTCGATGATTTTTAACAATTTCTCTAAGTACGTACGTTAGGGATGTAATATCTTAGCGCACCGGATTGACAAATATTAATGCGGTTGAAACAAATGGAAGCACGGTTCAAAAGAGCCGAAAATTGTACAAAGCGAAGGTCGCTTATGCCGAGCAGTTATGCAAATTGTACGAGTTCATAGGGTTCTTCAAAGCCAGGTACATGATATTTCGTAACATAAGTTTGTATGTTATGTAAGAAAATATGAATGTCTAACCATTAAACAACCTAACTTTAACTGCAACATTTGTGACTTTCGATTTTTTTTGTGTTAGGTTCCACACCAGAAACACCCGAAAGTTACTAGACGAGATGTCGAAAGAAGAGCAAGATAAGTTCGAAATCGAAGCGACGAAAATCGACTGTAAAAAGTACTTCGTCGACATTCATATCCCCGGCGTGAGGAAACACGTGTTGAATAACAAAATGACTGTCTGAATAACGTGTAATTGTCATGTAATTAAGCAAATAAATTAATAAGATATTGTGATTAGTATGGTAATTAATTAAGGAGGAAGAACATGTATATGTATAAGTGAAGGCTACTGTCGTGTGTTTTTTCCTCAATTATGTAAGTTGTATTATATAATTCGTAATATTGTGTGTGTATTATATATATAGGGATTGGTTCCAATGCGGACAGTTTTTTAAAATGCGGACGTGAGACCGCATTTCGTCCGTTCTTTCCGCATCTAATCTAACGTTCAGGATTAATTCATTATATCAATTAATTTTCGCGGGCGCTTCTTCATCTTCTCTTCCACTTTTTGCACTTGCACTTTGTTTCATTTTCGCACTTCATCGTCTGTTCCATTTTCGCACTTAATTCTTCTTTCTGTTCCATTCTCTTCCACTCTCGATTTGATTTTGCTTTTCGTCTCAATTTGTGTTTCGGTTTTATTGTTCGCAGTCACTATCCTCACAGATTCCCGTCTTAATCGGTGAGTATTTTTTGCGTTTGTTTTTGTTTGTAATCTCTTTTTTTGATTTTAGTTTTTTTTGTCTTAATAGATTTTTATCGGTGTTTGTAATATGTTTTGGTTATTTTTTTTATCGGTATTTGTTTTTTTTAATTCAATCTATGTATAAAGTGTATCAGTCGTATTTTCAGGGTTTTATTGGTTTTGTGTCTGAGTTGCAAGGTTATTGATATTTAGTTGCAAGGTTAGTTGTCTATCGTTGTTATGTTTGTTGTTTATCGTTTGTAGGTAGTTGTCTGTGTTGTTTTGTTATTTTTTCTGATGTTGCTAGGTTGATTTTCTGGTTGTGCAATGTTAGTTGTATGTTGTTGCTAGGTTAGTTGTCTGATGGTGCTAGGCTAGCTGTTTGGTGCTATGTTAGTTGTTTGTTAGTGCTAGGTTAGTAGTCTGTTGTTGCTCAGTTAGTTACCCGTAGATGCTAGGATAGTTGACTTTTGTTGCTAGGTTAGTTATATGCAGGTACTAGGATAGTTATATATCTCTGCAATGATAGTTTTATCAAGTTGCTACGTTAGCTGTCTGTTGGTGCTAGGTTAGGTCTCTGTTTTTGATAGGTTAGCTATATATCTCTGCAACCTTAGTTTTATCATGTTGCAATGATAATGTTTTTGCTAGGTTTGGTCTTTGTTCTTGCTAGGTTAGTTATCTTATGTTGCTAGGTTAGTTATATATCTCTGCAAGGTTAGTTTTATCATGTTGCAATGTTAGTTGTATGGTGTTGCTAGGTTAGCTGTCTGTTGGTGCTTTAATAGTTATTTGTTAGTGCT